TTTTTTCCCCCCCCCCCCACTTTAACTGATCCATGAAAGAAATGTTTTTCTGAAAACCAAAATAGACCTGTCACAAAAAGTATTCCCAGTAAATCATCATCTTCTCACTGTTTGGAGATCAAGTGTTTAGAACATTATATTACCCAAATTCTGAGATACTGTGGCTTGAGGTGCTAACATGTTCCAAAACCAGACTTCATCTGTTGCCATTTATAAATATCTATAAACTTTAATCTTGAGTAGGTCCTGCTGATTTTGAATCAAGTGCCATATGGGCCTCTGGCAATCCTTTAATTCAGAACATAGCAAATAATTACAAAATATAAGAAAGATTTGGGATACTAGTCAGTGGAATTCTGTTATTTAAACTCTTTGTCTTTTCTGCCAACTTCTTGTTTAAAGTGATGATAAAGTTTGCTAAATTCTAGTCAGCTGTGATTTTCCATTTTTCCTCACAAACGGTTGCATCTTAACAACCATTATGTATTGCAAAATAGGAAAAAAATTCAAGAGATTTAGCTTTCCCAATAACTATGATCTTTTTGCTAGGTAGACACATATCTATTGTTAGTACGTTTCTAATAATTCCTGGAGAAATGGAACAGAATTACTTAATAGGGCTGGGTTGTGCTTCAGAAGTAACCCAGAAAAGGTGCTTTGGATAGTGGGGTACAGGTAGTCCCCGGGTTAAAGATGACCCATAATTAAGAATGGAGCCCATTGTAGCAAAATTCGAGTTAAATATGCAATGGTTCGAGTTAATTACACAATACTACTTATACAGTATTATATAATACTATGGTTCTGGCTTACATACAAATTTGACTTAAGGGCAGACCTTGGGAACGAAACTCATTCTTAAACTGAGGACTACTTGTAGAGTGAATGTAGCACCTGTCTGCAGCTTTTTAAAGTGGCTAAGTCTTTTCCTCTGATTACATAGAGTTGTATTTAGAGTTGGGCGGTGTATAAGTCGAATAATAAAATTAAATTGTAACTAGCTGCTGCATTCATATATACTCCTGTATGCTCTGAAGCACCTTTTGTAATCAAATCTAAATAGTGAACAGCCCTACAAGTTAATGCTGGCTAGTTGATAAAGTACTTTCACCACTTTACTTTTTGGCAGTAATTGCATTTCCATAAAAACACACCAAGTTTCCACTGTCCTGTAACCTATTTTTTTTTCATAATTCTTTTAAATGATTGCATTGGTTTATGTACTGTGATTTCCTTAAACTAAGCGATTATAACATAATAAGGAAGGCAGGACAGCTGAACTCAATGTTTGCCCCTAAAACACATTGAACATTTGTTCTATATTAAATGTATGTAGATAGGAACTATTTTTCAGGATTTTTACTAGACTTTTAAAAAATGCCATTTTGAAAATGCTTAAAAAGTCACTAACTTTTGATAAAAGCAAGCCTTTTAAGTCTGAAAGTACTACCAGCACATTTGTAGGACTGTGATGTTTTATTGACAAGCTTCCTTAATAACCCAAATTCACACTGTGTTCCTATTGTCCACAATGCTTTTGCAAAATGTAATTGGCCACTAGTATCAGGCCTTTAGGTCACCTGATTGTCACTGTATCAAGAGTATTCAAGCCACTTTTTTTTTATTGCAATGAATCATAAACACCAAGCAGATTTCCAGTTTAGCAAAATGAGCTTATTTTCAATTGTCACCTTAACATTTTTTGATAGATTTGAGAGATCCTAGATGCAGAACTCCTGTTTGGGTGTCTCTGACTGATTAAACCCTCTATGGGCTGTGAATTACCTACACTTAGCACATTCACTCAATGCCTCAGAGAGCAGTAAACATCTGTCAGTGTAACACAAGCAAAGAACACATTTAAATATCTTTTACTTAAATTAATTTGACAATAACTGTGTGTGTGTGTGTGGCTTCGTGCCTAAGGTGGGATTAGAACTCATGGTCTCCTGGTTT